TTTATATTTGATCTACATTTTCTTTAACTTCATTCTTTCTTTCAATGAGTTCTTGCGTCCGCGGTTTTCTCCATATCCGCTCTGCTCAACATCACAAATCAGACTATCGATAATGCCTTATTACTAGCAATCATACTTCTATCTTATAATACTCTCCAACTGTCTTTCGACAAGTTGTATATACATAGATGTAGATGAACAGAAACAAATAGATTACAAGATGGAATAAACTTTTATTCAATGAGCTTTATTAATATTTTCTGATAAAAGACAGCATGCATTTAATCCGTTAAGATCATCTGACTGCGCCAATGCCCCCTTTTACCAGGCAAAGCAACGCAGATGAGCAAAACCAATGCAACTTTAAAAGACATTTCGAATAACTGAGTCCCGTTGATAGGCACTCATATATTTATACACCCAGGTCTAAGGCTAATGTAATTAAACGGTTATTGAATTTGTTACAATTTTTAGACCGTGACTTCGTTGAAAATGGATAAAGGGAGTATACTGGTTATGTCCAAATTGATGTAACTGCGAAAAGAAGGAGACTTGGAATTTTTGGGAGTTTTAGACTTGCATGGCAACTTTGGTTCAAATCATCACAAGCTTGCTGGATGGTTCTTTATATTACAAATACTGCCTTGCGTAGCGGCACACATGAGAAAAAGAGCGAAAAATAATTTTATATGTTATAATCCGTTTCGAAAGGATTACAGTGATTGCGTAATGTTACGCTAACCTACAACAGCGTAACATTACGCCATCACCGTGCATTTGCATATTTAATTAAATACTCGTTGATGCAGTGCACAAATATATAAATGCAAAATGATTTATTTTGCAAAAGCTAGACTTCTTACAGGTCACTAACATTTTGTACTGTGTCAGCTAGAGGTGAAGATTGAATGTGAGTGGCTTAAGTTAAACCTCTTACTTATCCCTCTATATAAAACCGTTTATCCTAGCTGGCTGACTGGTGAAGCTGAAATTTTTACCGTAGTTACCCTGCCATTTTCAAATGGCCGTGTTTCACAGAATTTCCGAAAATCCCCAACAATGTATAGACTTCTTTATAAGTTTCTGGTTGAAATTAACCTCTAACAAATTTGCAATAGCACAAAAAGGCATTTTTCCTGTCTATTCTTTGAATTTAATTTTCAACATTCTTATTATTTGAGTGCTCTTTTATGTGGGTCAACATCTACTGTATATGACATAGAATTTGTGAAGCTCGGTAACTGTCAAGGCAACAGAGAATTTTCTCCGTTTCAGCAGAGAATTTGACAAATGCATCAGGGCAACACTGGCTGACATAGCTATCCAGCATTTGCAGCATACTTTGCAAATCCCTTATGAAAATTTCTTGCAATTTGCAATGCCAGCAAATGGAGCAATCGCCCGCCCACTTCTCACCTGGACAACATTTTTTAAAAATTGTTGTAAAAACAAACAACTTGCGTCGACGTCCAAATGGAAATGCAAATGCCAGGCATTGGAGCTCTCCGTGCCGGCTCTATCGCCAGGCAAACAACAAGATGACTGCGAGCAAACTCATTGAATCGACTGATTTGCTGCTGGCAAATATTTTTCAGAGTTAACAAACAGAATTCCTGGCATGGACATATTTTTTGACACTTCGGGCTACTGGCAACTGGACGTTTACAATTTTTGCTTGGCGCCATGGCAATCAGAATTTCAAACAGCTTTTTCATTTAACGTTTAAGATTTGATAATTTTGCTGGAACTACATGAACCTGGTGCACGTTTAAGGTAGTGTGTTAATATAATCCACATTTAAAAGATTTATTTAAATTAATGCATGGAAGTTTTTGTTCTTTAAATTCACAGTTAGTTTGCTCAATATTTTGTCTCGTGACTGACTGACTAATTGGTGATCAACGCACAGCCCAAACCGTAAGAGCTAGGAAGCTGAAATTTTCACTTTTATGTGATGTTGGTGCACGTTAAGACGGGGTTTCGGGAAATTCGACCCGCAAGTGTGGAAAAATAACTTTTTTGTTAACTTTCAAAGATCATTGTTCAAATTCATTAAGGGGTGTTTCACACTTTTTGGAAAATCCATCCCTCCTTGGTGCAAATGGGGGTCGAAGATTTGGTGGGTGACGTTTCGCGCTCAAATTCATTTCCAGAGATCTATAAGAAAAATCATTTGAGACGTGTTTCACACTTTTCGCAGAATCCAAACTTTTTCTGGTGGAATGCGACTCAAATATTTTTGTGCGATGTTTTAAGTTGTGTCCGATTTGCTTCAAACTTATTTTTAAAGCTCTACATAAGAATATAATGAATACGTGTTTCAGAGATGTGGCGGAAATCGTTTGTATGAAACTTGTTTGTTTACGATCCGATCGGCCCCAAACTTATTTTCAAAGATCTTTGTTCAAATTCATTTGGGGGGTGTTTCACACTTTTCGAAAAATCCGTTCCTCCTTGGTGGAAATGGAGGTCAAAAATTTGGTGGGTGACGTTTCGCGCTCAAATTCGTTTCCAAAGATCTATAAGAAAAATCATTTGAGACGTGTTTCACACTTTTCGCAGAATCCAAACTTTTTCGGGTGGAATGACACTCAAAGATTTTTTGTGCGAAGTTTTAAGTTGTGTCGGATTTACTTCAAACTTATTTTCAAAGCTCTACATAAGAACTTAATGAATACGTATTTCAGCGATTTGGGAAATTCCACCCGCAACAGTGGTAAATTGGCGGAAACGGTTGTATGAAAGTTTTTTGTTTACCATCCGATCGGCCCCAAACTAATTTTCAAAGATCTTTGTTCAAATTCATTTGAGGGGTGTTCCACACTTTTTGAAAAATCCTCCTTGGTGCAAATGGGGGACGAATATTTGGTGGATTACGTTTTGTGTTCAAATTTATTATTATTAAAATCTAAACTCCTTCGGTGAAAAATGCATTTCAAAGATTTTTTTGGTGAATTTGAAGTTTTGTCCGATTTGCATAAAAGTTGTTTGATTCCCGTCCGATCACGACGGGCATGCCCGGGTTATACCCGCTAGTATATCATATAGAGGAAATATTTGGAAGTCTCTGCATTATTTTGATAATTATTAATTTTATTTTAATTCGTAAATTGGGTTTTCCTCTTATGTTTTTAAATTTGAAAATATTGTATTACATTAAATGAATAATGATTTTCAAGCACGTCTAGCACGTCTAGAAAACAAGTGTATAATATATTTTAATCAAGGACTCATTAAAAGCTCAGCGGGCGCTATGCAGGACATCAATAAATTTGCTCTGTATCTGTCTTGCCAGCTTTTAAAGGCCTCAATGGGCACATTGAGCAGCTTTAATTCGTTGAAATCATTTGCATTTGCTTGCCGCCAACACCAGCAACAGCTTTTTATTGAAAATATCAACTACAGCTACAGCCAGACTAATAACAACAATACCAATAACATCAGCCAGACAGCGAGAAACAACAACAACAAATAAAAACGCATATACTTCCTGAATTTTTGATTATGCATTTGGCTCTGCGACTGCGCGTATGCCGCTGATTGGAGACCAGTTAATGCACATTTTTGGTTACCCCCATCATAATGAACTACATAGCAATGAGTAATATTTATATGGAACCGAAAATGCTACATAAAGTAAACCAATATTATGCAATATATTCAATTATTTTTGGCAACTCTATAATTTAGACAGGTAAGAGCTATTGTGAACTAATTGAAATTAAATTTAAATTACAAAACGAATTTAAAATTTATAGAAAATAAAATTGCTTAAGCTAGTGATGTTTCAATTTATCTGTGCCTGATACCCGTTGACCTCGTAAGATGCACAGCAGCTTCCATAGCACAAAACAAATCGTAACCAAAATTAATATGCCCACACCCAAGAGCATGCCAAACACATCGAGACTATAATAAGCCAAAAAACTCAAATCCTGCGCCGCCACACGCATATGGGACGCGCCCTTGTGGCGCAGCACATACTCCGTCCACCAGATGGCCGTCTCCTGTGGGCTCATGGGCTGATCGCGATACCGAGCTGACATTAGCTGTGCTGTTGTCGAAAATTTCGGATCATTGATCAGACGTTCAATGGTCTGCTTAAATTCCGTGCCTGTCATCTCTTTATGATCGAGTCCCAGTCCGAAGCCAGCGCGCTTAGCGCGCTCAACATTCAGAAACTGATCGTAGAAGAAGGGCAGCCCCAGCACGGGCTTACCATGGTGGATGCTCTCAATGGTGCTGAGCAGGCCGCCGTGTGTGATGAAAAGTTTCACATTGGGATGCGCCAGTACGTCGGGCTGGGGGAACCATTTGCTGAGGAACACATTGGCCGGCTTGTTGGGCAACTGATCGTCTTCAAACTTCCAGAGCACACGCTGTGGTAGACTGGCGAAAGCCTGAAGCAGCATCTGCTTTCGCTCCTGTGGAAGATCCTTGCTCCTTATATTTGAACCCAGGGAAAAGTAGATGACACCCGCTGAGCCGGCGCCCTGAACAAATTCCTCTATCTCCTTGGGCAAGGGGGCCGGCGTGTGAGATATGTGCAGTCCTCCTACTTCGATCATATTGGGCACATATGGACGCGGAAAGCTCAACGAGAAATGCTGATTGAGCAATATCAGCGAAAAGTTCTTGCTCAGCTCCACCAAAGGCTTCTTTTGGGCGACGTGTGGAAAGTATTGCTCATAAAGTTGCTTCTGCACCGGCATATACATCAGTTTCCAATTAAGCCAGGCTATAGAGGTCTCAACGAAGTTGCGCACACGCTCCCAGTAGGTCATGCGATCGCTCAAGCCCGCCGTAACTAGTGGGGTATATGAGATCGGTGAAGTATTGCCCACCAACTCATCGACATTCCAATCCGTGCCGAATGTTGAGAGGCCAATAATGGGCGCGTTAAAGTGCGCTGCAAAACCGTAGAGTGCATCGGTACGCAGGGTTTCTACAATGACCAAATCATATTGAGCCTTACCGGGCTTTAACAGCTCCCGCTGTACTTCGGCATTTTCAAACACTTTCTTTGTAATGCTGATAAAAAAATCATTAATAAATGTGTTCTCCTGCCACAAATTTTTGTAGGCTTCAATGTTTGAAATTAAATCTGAAATAACCAAAGTTTAAGATTATAATAACTCGACACGAACCATATTAAACTTCAACGCACCTTCGTAGGATTGAAATACTTCAGGAACGACAATGTCACGAAAGTTTTTCACTGGCTTATTTTGGGGAAAAGCGTTAACCGATGTTACCTCGTGACCGCGGGCCGCGAGCCCTTTCAAATAGGGCAAGACGTTAATGTACTGTGAGGGACCCGGAAAGGGAAATATCGCAAGTATCCGTGCGCCATCAAGGAGACTTGGCAGCAATAAAACTAATGGTAAGAGGCAGCAGAGCCGTAGAGAGAACATTTCGTGTGTTAGTTCCCAGATCTAAAATTCAACTAAATTTGATAAATGGAAAACATTGCTCGGTTTAGATTAGACTGATGGACGTGCATGCGATAACAAATTTTACAGAGGCGATTACATTCATTTGTATGGGAGCCACACAACACGCCTCCGTCTGTGGCCTCACCTTGATCAGCTCGTATGCCTGCCTTTTAGTATGAGATTATTAAATTAAGCTCTGCCTCCGTTTAACAGCTTGTGTTTCTGTTTTCCATCTGCGAGTTTCGAATCCGCTAAGCTAACCCTCCGCGTGTGTGAGATGAGAAATTGCCAGTCATGATCATCAGCAGTAATTTGTAATTTGTTATATTGCGGTAGTAATTGTTAGACGAAGGAGTACACTGTTTACATTATTGATAGAGAATTTAACTTATCTATATCTATCTATCGATTAAAGTAAAAATTAATTTCATGCCGTTATGGGAAATTTAATTATACTTTTCAAGAAATTTCACTCAAAATATATAAACAATATATAGTAGCGAGCTATTAAAGATTTTTAATAAAACGTATTTTTTTTATATATTTTAACGTAAATGCAAATTACGACCAAGAATAGCAGCTACAGCATTATTTTTTTTAAGTTATTTATTACAAAAAATAAGATTTATATCATGCAAAAGTGTTTTTATGATATTTTTAAATGGGCTTGTTTATTTTTAAACAATCTAAAGGAATCTCACATAAAGTAAGTTTACCAAATAAGTATTTAAGTTAAATATCATTAAGGAATTGTTATTTGTTAGAAATATATAAATACAAATAAATCGTGTAATTTCCCATATATTTTCAGTTTTAATATTTACCATCTACCATTTATATTGAGAGCTACTGTGTTTTTTGTTTAGCGTCGATCTTGCAACGTCTACATAGAATATAGCGTAATACTCTCAACAGAGCCGAGATCACAAATACAAACACCAAGGCAATTAGCGATGTGACGCCACAGAACAGGCCCCATGTGTCCAGGCCATGCAGCTGGGCTAGGCTCAGGTCACGCGATGCTGAACGCAGGTGCTGAGCGCCGTGGTGCCGCAGTACATACTCCGTCCACCAGATGGCGCGTTCGAGCGGCGTATCCTTCTGATCGCGAAATAGCTTCGACCTTAGCTGCGCTGCCTGTGTGTAGCTGGAGTTGCTGAGCAGCTGCACAACCTGATCGTGCAACTGGGCGGCAGTCATGGTCCACAAATCCAGGGCCAGACCAAAGCCCGCCTGCTTGGCGCGCTCCACATTCAAGTGCTGATCATAGAAAACAGGCAGACCCAGCACCGGCTTGCCAAAGTAGATGCTCTCGATGGTGCTCAGCAGGCCGCCGTGTGTGATGAAGAGCTTCACATTGGGATGCGCCAGAATGTCAGGCTGTGGGAACCATTTGCTAATGAGCACATTTTTAGGCTGGTCCTCCAGCTGCCCCTGCTCAAACTTCCACAGGACGCGCTGCTTGAGGCTGCCAAAAGCCTGCACCAGCACTTGACGCGTTGCCTCCGGCAAATCGGCACTCTTGATGTTTGAGCCCATAGAAAAGTATATGACACCATCCTGGGCATCCGCCACAAACTTGGCCAACTCGACAGGCAGCGGTTGGGGCTCTCTCGAGTGTTGCAAATGCAGTCCGCCCACTTCAATCATGTTGGGCAGATAGGGACGCGGATAGCTGAGCGTAAAGTGCTGCCCCAGCAGCATCAGCGAGAAGTTGTCCAGCACCTGCTCCAGCGTCCGGCTGGCCTGGGGAAAGTATTTCTTATACAGCTGCTGCTGACTGGGCATATGGACCAGACGCTTATGCAGCCAGCCAAGACTGGCATCCCAAATGTTCCACAGGCGCTGCTCGTAGCTCATGTGCTCGGTGCGCGAGGATAAGAGCATGGGATTGTAGGCGAGCGGCGAAATGTTTCCCATTAGTTCATCGATGTGGCGATCTGTGCCGTAGGATGAGATGCCTATGGTCATAGCCTTAAAGTGTTGCGCCAGACCAAACAAGGCCTCAGTCTGCACAGTTTCCAGCAGCACTAAATCGAAGGTTTCGGCGCCTTCGAGCAATTGCTTCACTTTTTCGTCTTCCAACACACTAGACGTTAACATGTTCAGGAACGCCGTGGTCATGGTCAGCACTGTCCACTGGCTGACCTTCTGATTGTAGTCCGCACTGCTATAAGCTTGTAGACGGAATCTTATCTGATTTTTAACGTACTTATTGATATTGAAATAGAACCCTTACCTGCCATTAGATCGTGTATTTTGGTTGCACCAATTACTTTAAAGTTGGGCTCCGTTTGGTTGCTGCCAAAGGTATTTATTACCGTCACATTGTGATCTCTTTTAGCCAGCTCTTTAAGGTACTGCTCAGCGAATATATACTGCGATTTGCCGGGAAACGGAAAGACCGCCAAAATCTTGGCACTTTGGACGCCAACCGTCAGCTGATGGAGCAGCGCTATCAAAAATCCAAGACGGAACAGCTCCATGTTTGTCCAAATGGGTTTGTTGTTCGCTCGCTACTAAAATCAGCAAACGAAACTGCTTTTAATTTTCGTCTATTTATCGCCAATTCTTTGTGATTACGATTACGATTTCGGTTGTTGTTTTAGAAGATCAAAGCACAACAAAATTGATGAAGCGTGACGTACTTTCCTTGCTTCTTTTATCTCGCACATATTTGTTGTTAATTTTTTTTTATTTTTTTTTAATTTTTTGTTGTTTAAGTTCTCTTTGTTTTATTTATAGAATAGCTTAAATATAAGTACGAGCGGCGTTGCTATCGGCGAGCGTTTGTCAACGTTTTTATTTGTTTACTAATTCTCAGTTGTTATGCAACGTTGATCTCTCTCTCTCTCTCTCTTTCTTTCTCTCTCGCTATTTATCTTTATATTTTACGCTCTCTCAGTTAAACAAATCATTATGTGAGCTATAGAGTATAATCTGTAGAATAGACCGGTCTGCCCACAGCGTTAAGTTGAGCGTAAAAACGTCAGTTTTTTTGTTCATATAAAAATGTTACTCTCTCAGAAAATTTTTAAATTCCGTAACAATAAAAATATTGTTGACTTGGGGCGCTTGTTTTGTTGTTTAGTATATGCTTGGGGGAAAAAAATCGAGAAGTACATCAATCTGCGGCCCACCGAAGATTAAATACACTTGTAGAATTATGACTTACGATTTGCCATACGGGTTTTCAGAGTACAATTGTAAAGCTTAAAGTTACTGAGCTACTAGATCTTATAAATAATAAAAGAATAATAAACAAAAATAATTGTGTATAGGTTCGAAAGTGAACACAGTAACTTACAGACAGACATGGCTATATCGACTCGGAAATTGATACTGAGCACAGTGGAAATCAATATTTAGTTATGATATTGTGTTATTTTAATTTATTTTTATTATATTTATTATTTTTTTTTTTATTATGCAGTCCTGATGTGATTGTTTGAGGCGCAAAAGGCATTTCCCCCACCCCCACGCAACGCAGCTTGAAAAATTATAATAACGAGAAGGAAGGGCTATCTTCGGCTTGCCGAAGATTTAATACCCTTGCAGACCCAACCTTTTCATAATGTTCATATCTAAGAAGCTCAGGGAAAAAAGTTAATGCCGAGTATGGTTGAGGTGTCGTGAAAAACAAAAAAGTTTTTCATACAACAACAAGATATCCTAAAAAACAACAAAAATATTCCATACAGCAAATTAATTTTCGACCGATCGTTCCTATGGCAGCTATATGATCTTAATAGGATACTGCATATATATGAGGAGCATAATAAAACAAATAAATGCCGAGTTTGGTCAAGATATCTTGAAAAACAAAAAAATTTTCCATACAACAACTTAATTTTCGACCGAGCGTTCCTATGGCAGCTATATGATATAGTGGTCCGATCTTAATAGTATTTTGCATATATATGAGGAGCATAGTAAAACTAATAAATGCCGTTTTTGTATATATATATAACTAGCGGGTATAACCCGGCCTTGCCCGTGGCACGTATGTCAATCAATGTTCTCAATAAAATTTTAAACTGATCGGACGGTAAACAAATAACTTTCTTACAAACGATTTCCGTCAATTTACCACTGTTGCGAGTGGAATTTCCCAAATCGCTGAAACACGTATTAATTACATTCTTATGTAGAGCTTTGAAAATAAGTTTGAAGCCAATCGGACACAATTTAAAACTTCGCACAAAAAATCTTTGTTCGCATTCCACCCGAAAAAGATCTCTGAAAATGAATTTGAGCGAGAAACGTCTCCCACCAAATCTTTGACCTCCATTTCCACCAAGGAGGAACGGATTTTTCGAAAAGTTTGAAACACCTCTTAAATGAATTTGAACAAAGATCTTTGAAAATAAGTTTGAGGCCGATCGGATGGTAAACAAAAAACTTTGATATAACCTTTTTCCGCCAATTTACCACTGTTGCGGGTGGAATTTCCCAAATCGCTGAAATACGTATTCATTACATTCTTATGTAGAGCTTTGAAAATAAGTTTGAAGCAAATTGGACACAATTTAAAGCTTCTCCCAAAAAATCTTTAAATCGCATTCCCCCCGAAGAAGTTTGAATTCTGCGAAAAGTGTGAAACACGTCTCAAATGATTTTTCTTATAGATCTCTGGAAATGAATTTGAGCGCGAAATGTCACCCACCAAATCTTTGACCTCCATTTCCACCAAGGAGGAACGGATTTTTTGAAAAGTGTAAAACACCCCTTAAATGAATTTGAACAAAGATCTTTGAAACTAAGTTTGGGGCCGATCGGATGGTAAACAAAAAACTTTCATACAAACGTTTTTCGCGATTTTTCCACACTTGCGGGTGGAATTTCCCGAAACCCCGTCTTAACGTGCACCTACATCACATAAGGTAGCTACAGTGAAAATTTCAGCTTCCTAGCTTTTACGGTTTGGGCTGTGCGTTGATCACCAATCAGTCAGTCAGTCAGTCAGTCAGTCAGTCAGGACAAACAGTTTTATATATAGAGATAAATGTTTTTCATACAAGAACCTACTTTTCGACAGATAGTTCCTATGGCAGCGATATGATATAGTGGTCCGATCCAGATGGTTTTGACATATGATCTGCGTGCAGCAGAAAGAGGGACTTCTGCAAAGTTTCATAAAGATAGCTTTAAAACTGAGAGACTAGTTCGCATAGAAACAGACAGACGGACAGCCGGACAGACGGGCATGGCTATATCGACTCGGCTGTTAATGCTGATCATGAATATATATACTTTATGGGGTCGGAGACGTCTGCTTCTATGCGTTACACATTTCCCGACAAAATTATAATATCTCTGCTAGGGTATAAAAAGAGCCTGGACACGGACTAAACGACATGTGTATTATAATTATTATTATAATGATAATTAGTGATTTTTATTTATAATTTTTAAAATTGGCGGTTAAAGCAACGGATACTTTAAAAGCTCTTTAATGAATATTCCTCCTTAAAACTATTTATTTATTTTCATACTTGCTAATCTTTTAACCGAACATATAAATAAGTATGACTGAGTATAACCAGTAAACTATGGCCTTCAGTCAAGGCAATACTATATCAATCCCCCAGCCCAGGGCTAGATAGATAGATCTGTATATACATTGTCGCAACACTTTTTTTTGTTCAGGCGACATTCATCATAAAGTTTTATCTATTCGAAAATTACCTTAGATAACAACTTGGGAAGGTAACACGAAAAGTCTTATTTGCTAGTACGTATATTAAACATTAATAGAAGCTACATATTAAATTCATAATATTTAAAATCACATAACAGCAGTTGGAACTCGGCTGCGCATTCCGTGGAAGTCAAATGGATAGATTGGAAATGCATCCGAGTTCACATACCACCGGCATATATGTACATAAATAATATAGTTTATACATATATAGACACTTATGGAGTAGAAAATCATATAAACACTAACAATGATTAAAAAGGTAATTGCCATTCAGATTAGATAATCAACAATTTGTCCAATATCGTAGACTGTCGCGCCATTGGCTATAGGCATATTCATTCGAAACAACTGCGACTTTTCAGAAACCACAACGACTTGTAGAGCACATAAGCCACTAGACCAACTAGAAGACCGAGTCGTCCAACGATAATCAACAGATTGTCCACGCAATAGTAGTCCATAAATTTCATATTGGAGGTGGAGATGCGCATATGGCGCGCACCCTTATGGCGCAGCACATACTCTGTCCAGTAGACCGCTGTGTCCAGTGGATGCAAGGGTTGATCCCGAATACGTTCCGAGAGTTGCAGAGCGTTTTGATGATATTGGGGCTGTTCCAGCAACTGTCTGAGTGTTGCCTCAAATTCCTGTCTGGTCATAGAATTAATGTCCAGCAGTTCTGCCACGCCCTCCGCCTGCATGCACTCCACATTCCGAAACTGATCAAAGAATAGCGGCAAGCCCAGAACGGGTTTGCCATAGTGGGCTGCTTCAATGATGCTCAGTATGCCGCCATGGCTGATTAGCAGGCGCACATTGGGATGGGCGAGGATGGCTTGAAGTGGCAGCCACTGTTCCAGATAGATGTTGCTGCTCACATTGGGACGTGCATCGCCCTCGAACTTCCATATGATGCGCTGTGGCAAAGCCTCAAATGTATCTACTATTAGTGCCAGTGTCACCGCCGGCAGATCTTTGCTCTGCAGTTCCATGCCCAGGGACATAACAATGACGCCGTGTGGCGCCTCCTTAATAAACTGTGCCAGCTCTGGCGATAGCGGTGGCAACATCTTGGGCACATGCATGCCTCCCACCTCCACCAGGCCGGGCACATTGGGCCGCGCCGGGAACAGGCTAAAGTGCTGGTTTAGCAATATCACCGAGAAGCTCTGACGTATCTCCACAAAGCTCTGCTTGAGATGACCAAAGAAATGCTCATGCACCGCTTGCAATGATGGTAAATAGATCAATTTATGCAACATCCACTCCTCGGCGATGAGTATCCAGCTATAGTAACGTTCCAGCAGCGTTGCGCCGGGCATGAAGCCTTGGGGCAGCAGCGGCTCAAGCGTCAAGGATGCTACATTGCCCACTAATGTTTCCATGTTCCAATCTGCGCCACATGTGGCCAGACCAATTAGGTTCGCATTGAAATGTGCCGCTAGTCCGAAGAGCGCATCTGTATATGAGGGCTCCAATATCATCAGATCATAGCTCACATTGGATCGCATGAGCTGCTGTACCTCTTCATTTTGCAGCACATTGATACAAATCTTGACAAAAAAGTTACGCGCGGAATTCACATCCACCCATTTGGACATGGGCAGCACTTCTTCGGCATTAAATTCTGTAAGGGCAATAAACGCAATGGTTTTTAAATAGTTTTAACAAAGCTCAGCATACACGAGGGCGCTGACGATCAGCCGCTTAACAAGTTAGCTAATGTGAAAAATTTAAATATGAAAGATTGAAGGCGATCATAAATAAATAAAAATACATTTTAAGAAAAGCTGAAAATAATCTTCAAATGTCTGGAGGCTAAATACTCTTACTAATATATACATATATACCAGCATATACCAGATTTGCAATTTATTTGGCAACGCGCTGTCGACAAAATATATACACAAGC